TCATGAAAACTTGGCTTATTAGGCAAATCGGGCCTTGAATAGTAGGCTGAGAAGTGCGTTCTGGCTATTAGGTACGACATATATATATATATATATATATATATATATATATATATATATATATATATATATATATAAGGCACAACTCTCCTAAACACGAGAGTGAAGTATACAACTTTAGAACACTTTCCCACCAGGAGACTCGAACCCTAGCCAGCACAGAAGCCTTCCAGCAACTGGCATAACAGGTACGCCTTAACCCGCTCCACCACCAGCTCAGACCCTTAAAAGAGATGGTAATTTCGGAGTATTTAAATACCACAAAGATCACCACCTCCCAAGAGCACTAGGTGGGAAAGTGTTCTAAAGTTGTATACTTCACTCTCGTGTTTAGGAGAGTTGTGCCTTAAGCATAGACACTGTGTCTTCCCATATTAACAGGGACTTGATGAAATAAACGTATAAATGACCCCTCACTTGCTCTAGTGCTCTTGGGAAGTGGTGATCTTTGTGGTATTTAAATACTCCGAAATTACCATCTCTTTTAAGGGTCTGAGCAGGTGGTGGAGCGGGTTAAGGCGTACCTGTTATGCCAGTTGCTGGAAGGCTTCTGTGCTGGCTAGGGTTCGAGTCTCCTGGTGGGAAAGTGTTATATATATATATATATATATATATATATATATATATATATATTATATATATATATATATATATATATATATATATATATATATAGAGAGAACGAGAGAGAGAGAGAGAGAGAGAGAGAGAGAGAGAGAGAGAGAGAGAGGAGAGAGAGAGAGAGAGAGAGAGAGAGAGAGAGAGAGAGAGAGAGAGAGAGAGAGAGAGAGAGAGAGAAAGTAAGTTGGTTCGGGGTCTTGACCCCGAACCAACACAGAAGCAAGAAGATAAATCACACAATGGTGTACCCATTGATTCACTTGTTCATCTCAATCATGTCCTGTATCACCTCACCACAAGAGAATATAAGCATTAGCAATGTATGTAAAATTGTCTTTGAAAATGTAAGAAGTGTCTTGCGAAACGCTCCTAGGCGTCAGAACATAAATAAAGTGTGAAAAGGAACTTTGGAGAGTTAATTTTTCAACTATCCTCGACAGTGAAGAAAAACATAAGAAATATTGAAAAAAAAAAATCGTGTTAGAGTCATTAAACTTACCCTTTCGGTCATATTCAACAACATTATATATATATATATATATATATATATATATATATATATATATATATATATATATATATATATATATATATATATATATATATATATATATATATATCCACGCCTGGGGTAGAAAATACACTGAAAACCTTTCCTCTCCTCTACGTCGAGGTCTCACTCGACCTATCAACAGCCTTTGGGGTTCCCCTCTTTCCCATTCGACCTTTTCCCTCCCTTATTCTATTTTATTCTCCTTCCCGTTTGCTGTTATCTAAACATTCTGGTTTAGCACCTTATCCCTCGTGATTATTTAATCTACATAATTACACTTCTGTTATCCCTTGGTTCTGACATCCCTCTCTTCCACACCTCTCTCTCTGCTACCACTCATTCCTCTTGCTCCACCCTTCTCTTCCTCAGCATCAAGCTGGGAGGGGGATAGACAGGTGGGGCGAACTTAGGGCCTTGTGGGACAGTCGAGTTTCTCCCCCGCGAGCGTCGAACTCTGGGCCGGACAGATAAGGCCATCGCGGTCAGTGGTGGAGGCTGCTGCCCTGACTCTGGACAATCACGCCGAACTGACTTTCAGCGGGGCTCGAGGGAGTGTTTAGCTGTGGTGGTGGTGGTGGTTGTGGTGGTGGTTGTGGTGGTTTACGTTAGCTTTGGTTGATGTTAGTAATAGTGGTTCTCTCTCTGTCTCTCTCTCTCTCTCTCTCTCTCTCTCTCTCTCTCTCTCTCTCTCTCTCTCTCTCTCTCTCTCTCTCTCTCTCTCTCTCTCTTATCTTATTTTGCTGCTCAATTAAAATTGTGACATGGAAAAGACTAGTCAAGGGCACTCTTGCGTGATAATTTGACCTGAGGTTGACCTGTGTCAGAGGTCACGTGTTCTCGCACCATCTTAAGTCTCGATGTTTTCTCAGGGTCTGTGTTTGGAGTTTATTTAATTTGCTCTTTGTCGATTTTCTTGTAGTATTTTTTTGTTGCTGTATATCTTACTTTGCTGTCCCTCCGGCTTTTATATACATTTTTCTTTGTTTTTTTCCTCTCACTACTTCATATTCTCCCTCATCCCTCACGTCCCTATCATTTTCCTCAGTACTCCATTATTTCCTTAACACCTCCATCCCCTCTTCTCACTCTTCCATACTTTCTTATACTCCGTATACTCTCTCTCCACCATTCTAACGCCTTTCCCATCCCTCCTCCTCCTCTTCCCCCTGTTCCGTCCCCACCCACACAGACTGTCACACCTGTCCCACGAACACCAGTGTTGTCATGTGTTCGTGAGTGTTTATGACAGTCTTGGCGTCACTGGGTGCCAATAGTCTCGACCACGCCACAGCAACAGGAAACACTCCAGGAACAACAACAGGAACAACTCCAGGAACAACAACAACAGGAGCCACAACAGCAACAACAGCAAGAAGGTAGACTAAACAAATAACGCTCGATAATAACAATTCAAATAATGCAATGACAAAGTTAAGAAAATAATAAATGAACGATCCTATAGCCCAAATTGGCGCGCCCATCTGTGCACTTTCTCTCAGACCCTCCCCACTGCCACTCACACCTGCAGTGGCTGGCTATCGTATCCTCAGTGGAGGAGGCGAGGAAAGGGGGAGAGGCGAGATGGGAGAAGACGGGGAAGAGGTGTGAGAGAGGTGTGTGAGTGAATGAGGACGAGGCTGGGGTGGAGTTGTGAGGTTGTCATGTTAGGTGGGTAGAGGGGGTTAAGGGGTTCCGGGTCCACTTGCTGGGTTTACATAATGAAGCAGCAAGCGACGGACAGGTCTAGTTATCTTCTCTCGCTTCAAGATGGAAGCGTTTTCTCCTAGCTGACCACACGCACGATCGCGCGCACACACACACACGCAGAACACACACACACACGCAGAACACACACACACACACACACACACACACACACACACACACACACATACACACACACACACCTCAAGCTGGGAGAGGCCTACTGCCAAATCTGCTGGTGTTCTATAACTTAAAACCAATTACACAGCAAACAGAAGGATGGACTGACTGCATCTTCCTGGATGGCCAGGAAGCATTTAACACAGTTTTCCACACAAGAAACTTCAACCCAGCAGAAAGCCACGAGCGGGAAAATGAGAATGAAGAAATGGAACGCTCAGCGTACCACAGGGATCAGTACTACCACCCACATTGATTTTAATACAGAAATTTCTTACTAAGGATGTTCGATATTCCAAGGTAATGTTTAGCGACGTTACAAAACTTATGGTACGGCTCAGAACATGTGACTGATGAAGGTTCCATGTGGATCTGGACACTAGAGAAATGTTTCATGCAAAGACACGATGAGAGGAATTGGGACATGAGTTAGGTAGCAGACTGGTCAGGACATTTAAATTTACGGATGTTTGAATATGTTGCCCCAGTGTGGGATCTTCAGCTTAAAAGGCATCAAACAATATTAAATACCGTAAAAACATTTGTTACAAGACTGGTCCCTGAACGAAGTGGACTGAACTACAAGGAAATTCTGAAGGAACTACCACAGAGAAAAGAAAGGAAAAGCAGACCCAACGGTTACATTATATACGATTCTTAGAAGCATCGACAAATAGTGCAGAAGGGAAGAGGTGCGTTGGGTGCAGAACCAAAATGGTAGACGTGAACAGGGAGTGAACGAGAGAACACAAGTGTGTAGTAGAAGCTCAGAGGAGCCACGAGGCTATAAGGAAACACTCCAGCAGGGAGAAAAATGAAACTAGTTTCCAAGAGGTTTAGAGCACCTAGCCAGAGTGGAAATAGAGTGCGCGGCCAATCGTTAGTGACGAAAAGCATCATTAAGCGATATACTGTTAACGTCAAGAGGTAAAATAACTATACCGGACTCGTCGAAAGCAGTAAGGTCAGACATCGTGTCACTTTGTCAACGGCAGGAGGAGTTAGGCACTCTCACAGCCTAACTATAGCTTTTAACACAGCTTCCACAAATCTAAACAAAATTACGACTCTGGTCAAAATATTTACAAAACGGGGCAAACAAGAAGCGTTAAACTCTACGTGCATTCATGTAAGCTGCTGAAGAAAGTGATCAGAAACAGAGAAAGAAGTTCCTGGGGCTTAAATTTTGCAACGAAGGAACAAAAGTGATCTATAAGGTGAAAAATCAAGCCATAAAAACGTAAGAGTGTCATGATCGCTAATGTGCGATAGGATGAAGAAATCTGAGTAAACTACGTCATTTAACCAAGCTATACACCTATCAATCATCTATACATACATACTTACAATCTATACACCAATCTATACAAAAGTCACCTTTTGTTATCATTCCACTTCGACTTGTAATTCTCACCTCGTGGATATCAAAACTTAAGTTAACAAGTGCATAGATTTGCTTCAAGCTACGTTCCCATATAAAGTTAACTATGCTACGGGGAAAGGGTAAGGAACTCAGCATAAAAATCTGAGAAGAGGGAAAAAACAAAAGAAATATGATTACTACATACAAAATACTGAAGGGAAAAGTTAAGATTCAAATGAACATTTTTACGTTTCTAAACTTTAATTGTAAAACAGAACACAGATGGAAGCTAGAAATAATCAAATGAGCTCATGAGACGAACGGAAATACTCGTACCTTGTACTGGTGGTCAACCAGTGGAATGCCCTGAAAGAGAAAGTTGTGGAAGCCACCTCCATCCACCAGTGTAAGGCCAGATACCACACAAAGAACACGAACGAGAGGAAAGTTAAAATACTCACCGTGTACAACAAGGCCAGTAGGCGGGGCATAATCTTACTCCTTCGTAGTCACTGAGAGGTAAATATATCCTCGTCGCTACCTCTACCTCCCCCAACACTTCCTCGTCGCTACCTCTACCTCCTCCAACACTTCCTCGTCGCTGCCTCTACCTCCTCCAACACTTCCTCGTCGCTGCCTCTACCTCCTCCAACACTTCCTCGTCGCTACCTCTACCTCCTCCAACACTTCCTCGTCGCTGCCTCTACCTTCCCCAACACTTCCTCGTCGCTGCCTCTACCTCCTCCAACACTTCCTCGTCGCTACCTCTACCTCCTCCAACACTTCCTCGTCGCTGCCTCTACCTCCTCCAACACTTCCTCGTCGCTACCTCTACCTCCTCCAACACTTCCTCGTCGCTGCCTCTACCTTCCCCAACACTTCCTCGTCGCTGCCTCTACCTCCTCCAACACTTCCTCGTCGCTACCTCTACCTCCTCCAACACTTCCTCGTCGCTGCCTCTACCTTCCCCAACACTTCCTCGTCGCTACCTCTACCTTCCCCAACACTTCCTCGTCGCTGCCTCTACCTTCCCCAACACTTCCTCGTCGCTACCTCTACCTTCCCCAACACTTCCTCGTCGCTACCTCTACCTTCCCCAACACTTCCTCATCGCTGCCTCTACCTTCCCCAACACTTCCTCGTCGCTACCTCTACCTCCCCCAACACTTCCTCGTCGCTGCCTCTACCTTCCCCAACACTTCCTCGTCGCTACCTCTACCTTCCCCAACACTTCCTCGTCGCTACCTCTACCTTCCCCAACACTTCCTCGTCGCTGCCTCTACCTTCCCCAACACTTCCTCGTCGCTGCCTCTACCTTCCCCAACACTTCCTCGTCGCTACCTCTACCTTCCCCAACACTTCCTCGTCGCTACCTCTACCTTCCCCAACACTTCCTCGTCGCTGCCTCTACCTCCCCCAACACTTCCTCGTCGCTACCTCTACCTCCCCCAACACTTCCTCGTCGCTGCCTCTACCTTCCCCAACACTTCCTCGTCGCTACCACTACCTCCTCCAACACTTCCTCGTCGCTACCTCTACCTCCTCCAACACTTCCTCGTCGCTACCTCTACCTCCTCCAACACTTCCTCGTCGCTACCTCTACCTCCCCCAACACTTCCTCGTCGCTGCCTCTACCTTCCCCAACACTTCCTCGTCGCTGCCTCTACCTCCTCCAACACTTCCTCGTCGCTACCTCTACCTCCTCCAACACTTCCTCGTCGCTGCCTCTACCTTCCCCAACACTTCCTCGTCGCTGCCTCTACCTCCTCCAACACTTCCTCGTCGCTACCTCTACCTCACCCAACACTTCCTCGTCGCTGCCTCTACCTTCCCCAACACTTCCTCGTCGCTACCTCTACCTCCTCCAACACTTCCTCGTCGCTGCCTCTACCTTCCCCAACACTTCCTCGTCGCTACCTCTACCTCCTCCAACACTTCCTCGTCGCTACCTCTACCTCCCCCAACACTTCCTCGTCGCTACCTCTACCTCCTCCAACACTTCCTCGTCGCTACCTCTACCTCCTCCAACACTTCCTCGTCGCTGCCTCTACCTTCCCCAACACTTCCTCGTCGCTACCTCTACCTCCTCCAACACTTCCTCGTCGCTACCTCTACCTTCCCCAACACTTCCTCGTCGCTGCCTCTACCTTCCCCAACACTTCCTCGTCGCTACCTCTACCTCCTCCAACACTTCCTCGTCGCTACCTCTACCTTCCCCAACACTTCCTCGTCGCTGCCTCTACCTCCTCCAACACTTCCTCGTCGCTACCTCTACCTCCTCCAACACTTCCTCGTCGCTACCTCTACCTCCTCCAACACTTCCTCGTCGCTACCTCTACCTCCTCCAACACTTCCTCGTCGCTACCTCTACCTCCTCCAACACTTCCTCGTCGCTACCTCTACCTCCTCCAACACTTCCTCGTCGCTACCTCTACCTCCTCCAACACTTCCTCGTCGCTACCTCTACCTCCTCCAACACTTCCTCGTCGCTACCTCTACCTCCTCCAACACTTCCTCGTCGCTACCTCTTCCTCCTCCAACACTTCCTACGCTTCTTCACCACCACCACCACCACCACTTCCACTCAGCTGTTACCTATGATAGTGACTACGGAAAGTGAAGTCTAGTTCTTCATACCCGGTCAACTAGATCTGTAACACCTGTTGCGTTATAATTGAACTTTCTTGGCGTTGGAAAACGTTTGCCGAGTCTGGCCTTGTTGTGGATGGAGGTGACTGTTACACCATTCAGTACTTTCCTCTTTGTTGGCCAACCGTTCGAGGTACGGGTATTCCCTTAAATTCCTACGGCTCAGTTGCGTTCCCAGCTCCCACCTGTGTCCTCTTGTTCTAATTTTCTTTACATTTATTGAGGCAGTGTCCTTATCCACCGTGTCTTATTACACTCAGTATCTTGTATAGTGTTATCATATCTCTATTTCATATAGAGATATGATATTTCATATTTCCCCCTCTATTTCATATTCCCTCTAGGGTTCTGAGGATTTGCTTCGATTTGCACCTCACAAGGTGTGGGTGACCGGCCGGTGCTGCATATTCCAGAATTGGTCTAGCATAGGTTGTGTAGATTGCCTTGAAAAAGAGTCTCCACGTAGGTTCCCAAGGTTCTATTCCTCTCTACTCTCTTAAGATCTTTCCTACCACTATCTTGCAATCCTCATCTAACCCGTCCTCTCAAAATAACGTCGTTTTTCGCTCCTATGCGCGTTATGGCCAAAAACTGACGTAATTTGAAATGAAATCGGCTCACGAAAGTGATGTAAAGGCCCGTTTTCTGTTTGAATCCTCCAGCTTAGTCTGTTAGGTTAGGAGATGACACCTTCAATTAACGTTTTTCATGACGTTTTGAAAGTTTAGGAGAATTTTTGGCCCTCCTAACCTACCAGAGGACCCTTAACTTTCTGTTTTGGAATAAAAAAAATCCGAAATTTATTTTAATTTTTTTGTTCATTTTCACATTACGTCAGTTTCGGGCATAAGTGCAAACGGGTAGAATTCAGACGTAATTTGTAAGAGGACAGATTGCCGCCTAATTTGTCTTTCTCGGCTTCTCTTCCTTCTGCTCTACATCTCATTCTTCCTTACTCCGCTCCTGCATCTTCCTCCTCCATCCCTACCATTTCATCTCTCCCCTCAGCATCTCCCACGTGATCCCGGCCCCAGCCTCCACCAGCGTCAGGAGAGACGTGGCCTGCAGCCCCCCCCCCCCACACACACCACTTGGGACCAGTAGGGTCTAAAAACTTGTACAAACCTTATGACGTCACTATGACAACACTCGCCTCGTTCACATCGTATATAAAACACACACGACAAAATTGCTTATTTCTGAACATTAAAACAAAATCCTAGAGTAGAGATGACGTAGAGAGGTGCAGATTATTCTCAGGTTTCAGACCCGTCTCGGACAAATACCACAACTTCATCACTTCCGTCCCCGCCGGCACTCCCCCCCCCCCCCCCCCCCCCCCCCCCCCCCAAGAAGAGATAGTCAGAACCTGTTCAAAGGTCACATCATCATTTTCTTTCTGTTAACGAGAAAAAAACGTTTTTAAACGTTAAGAGAACTATTATAGTTTCCACAATTGAGTTAACACGTACACACACCTGGATGTGCTTGTAGGGGGGGAAGCGTAAGCCACAAATGGTCCACATCACGAACATTTCGATGATCAATGCAGTTTGTATACTCTGTTTACTGAGTTAGTTATAAAAAACTTATGTTTTCAAACGCATTCTAATCCTTTACACTTCTTACTCTCAAACAATTTCATTCTAGCATCAGTATTGTGCATTTGCAGCTCTCAGAATCTTACATGTGGTCAACATGGCCCCATCCTCCTGTTTTTGTTTTCTCTTCCAATATGGTGGGTTCCTGTTAGTCCTCTTAGCTCACTAACAAGCCTTGTTGCTAATCTTTAGACATGTTTTGTTGCTTGGTCAAGTACTCCGCCTTAAGACTTTATCATGTAGATTGCATAGCATTCGGAAGGGTCTGTTTTTTTCCAAGTTAGTTAAGATTATCCGGACAAAGGGTAGTTTAACAAATGCAGCAGATATTATTATGTTAATGTGACTCTGGCATTGCGTTTGGAGTTATGTCATATAGACATAACCCCGAACGTCATATCATATAGACATCAAGGCTTGGCGCTTTACCACTGACATTTCCCTGCCTCTGTATGGAACCTCAGATGTAGTTGTTGGTCAGGCTCTGGCCTGAAACTCTCCTGAAAACTGTAGGTACTTCGCATATTTCCTTATCATTCTCTGTGAGCCCCTACCCGACCTGGTCATTCATACATCTACCTCCTGTCGTGGATTCTTATCTTGGGTTATCTTGGGCTGATTTCGGGGCTTTATATAGTGTCCCCGCGGCCCGGTCCTCGACCAGGCCTCCACCCCCAGGAAGCAGCCCGTGACAGCTGACTAACACCCAGGTACCTATTGTACTGCTAGGTAACAGGGGCATAGGGTGAAAGAAACTCTGCCCAATTTTCTCGCCAGCGCCTGGGATCGAACCCAGGACCACAGGATCACAAGTCCAGCGTGCTGTCCGCTCGGCCGACCGGCTCCCCGACTGGATATGCAGCAGTTTGGAGCTAATCCATGGCTTTGAGTGCTATGTAATTCCCATAATTTTCTTTTGGAGTCTTCCAGGTACCTTTATATAGGTGTAACTTATCTACTGTTTTGTGTTGCTTTTATTTAATTTCATATTTTTTTTACTGATAGGTACTGCCTGTTAAACCAGGGGCCAATACCCAGCATTTACATTTTTCTCTCAGTGGCTGCATGTTGCTTCCTTCAGGATCTTCTTCTCTCGTTTTGTTGTCTATCTTCTCTTTTTGGAGTTGTTCTTCCAGTTCTCTTTCTCGTGGTATTCTCTCTAGACATTCTCTGATACCATCTGGTATTACGCCTAAAAGTGTCTCTTGTGTGCGCGTGCGGGCTTTTGTTTCCAATCATTGTTATTTAAGATTATCATAATTGGTGAACAAATCCTCTGGGGCCTTGATGAGGGTTCGAACCCATGCCCTGGATATTTCCAGACGTGCTCTAGTCAACTGTACCACGAAGTCTTCATCAAGACTCCTGTGGATTTGGTTTTTGATATATAACGTTAATGTGATTTCTCTGTATCCTAATTAATGTTACAATAATCCTTCAAAATTACAGTAACAATAATAATTATTAATATAACAATACATCTATTTATATAAATAATATTTAATAATAATAATTATTTCTCAAGAAAGCATTCTTGCGTCACATTTAGAAAACTTCTCACACTCTCAGTGTCTTGGAATTCAACGTCATGTTGCACCTAAAATAATATCTTTAGCATGATTATCATCTCTTCTCTTCCTCCTTTAAGGCGAGAACAAGCAACTTGTTCTCCCAGACAATTACACACTTACCCGCCACACCTGTAATCTTCAGGACAACTGCTTGAACTCCAATTTCAACACATTCTTTTCCTACGTCGGCCGGCAGCGCCAGAACTGAGGAAAATGTCTCTGTTTATGGAGAAAACCATCAAAAGAACAGGCAGTTTCAAGAGTGTAAAATTTGTTGCAGTTCTCTCGAAACGTCCCTATTACTTGTCTTAGTTATTTTTTCCATAAGTGACGGTATTAGCAGAGAAGACAATAGGAGAGCTGTTTACACAAACCCACTACAGCAGGGCAGGGAAAATGGAGTGATTAGTATTAGTGATTGGGAGGGACGTAGAGCCATTATCGTGAACACAACACAGACTTAATTGAACGCTACACGTTCAAGCTGCCTCAGTACTCCCCTATTGTGGAGCACGTAATGGAACATTGCTATACACAAGTGGGGAAAATGGTAATATTTAAGACTGGAGAGAATCTGATAATAAGCATTCTAACCGTAGAAAAGTGTACGGTATTACTATTTGTTTCATCTGTAGGAAAGTGCCTGGTAATTTTAGCACAGACAAAACGTTCTGCAAAAGATAACTCGTCATAAATTTGGAAATTAAGATACGGAAGCAAATGTAAGTCTACGAACACTTAAAGAACGATACACAACGCTTGTTCTAATAAACAGCCCAACTATCACCTACCATGAAGGGGAGGAGATGGTGAAGCAATAATTGTATTGCAAAACGCAGTTGATGTTGACAGTTATTCTGGAAATAATAATGATTGTTTAGATTGGGAAAATGTGGACGATAATGATTGTATGAATTATTTTGGCTACATCTTAAAGTGAAGGGTTAAGGAATACATATTTACATATACCTTGCTCTAAGAAAGAGTTATCCAAAAATGCCGAGTTAGCCAAAACATTTGTCCCTAAAGAGAGAAATGATTGTCATTTTGGGCTGCCTTTGAGCAGCCTGAGGGGCAACAGTATTCCGTGGAAGTGCAACAAAATCTCGTAGACTTGAGGCAAAGTGAAATTCACACCATCTATCCTTATTTTACTATGCAGGTCGAACTGCACATCTGTTGATCATCCAATAAGGTTAGCAGACCTCTAGATGTTACCACTGCTAGGTTAAGGCTCGGCTACAAGTACCTCAGGGAGTGTACACCATCTGCTGACATAGACGCGACTAAGTGTAAACTCTTTCAGTTGACCTATTCACATACTTAAGACGTTAAGGCTATGTGTTGTTACTGTATCATCTCCACCCACCTCCTCCTCCTCCTCATCTCTCCTCTCTGGCGAGGTTTCTCTCCTGATAAGAACCTCTGCTGGCCACCAGGACGACTGCCCACCAGGACCTGAAGCCCGTACAGCCTTGCACATTGTGACATCTTAGTAACGTAACCCTCGTTCACACTACATATACACCACAACATTTTACATCTCATTTTCGTTAGGTTAGGGTAGAGTCAGTTGAATTGGGATGGGGTGGGAAGGGTTAGATTGGGATCGGGTGGGAAGGGTTGGATTAGGAAGGAGCGGGGTGTAACTGTGTTCCCCTTCACCCTGATGGATGAGGTTGGCCGGTCGTTGAGTCTTGACCCCCTGAACGACCACCGTTTTCAGGTCACCTGTAAAAGGGGGTGTAGATGGTGTGGGAGAGCAAAGGGTAAAGGGAAG